CTGGGTCCCCGCCCGGTCCCGATCTGGGTCTGGTCTGGTCTAGGACTCAGTCCCAGTCTGGGTCTGGTCCCAGTCCAGGGCTGGGCACTGATCCCAGTCTGACCCTGGTCTGGGTCTGGTCCTGATCCGGGTCTAATTCTGGTCCAGGGCTCAGTCCCAGTCTAGGTCTCGGCGTGGCCTGTTCCCAGCCGTATTGGGGCACTGTGTGTTTGTCCCCGTGGGCTCCACTGCCGGGGCACCTCTCCGTTGGGAGACACCAAAGATCAGCCCCACACCAGGGGGCCCTGGGAGAGAGCAGGGGTTTCCCCCCAGGCCCATAAGCGTCCCTGGCAGCTCATCCACTGCCCCTCCATGCCCCCAGCGCAGCCCAGCCCTGGCTGCGCTGGCACTGCCCTGCACAGCAGCCTGCGGTCCTGCTCCCGCTGCCCCAGGCTGTCCCACCAGGTGCTTGCAGTGGGGCAGGGCTGCCGGCTCCCAGGGGTGTTCTGGGGACTTGGCTGCAACGGAGGCTAAAAGGGGGGATGCCATCCCAAAATAACCCATGCAACCTTGATAACCCTGCGCTGTTTCCCAGGGCTGTGAGGGCAGCACAGGGCTCAATGCTGCTGCTGGCAGCCGGCAGCCTCCAGTGATCAGGGCATGTATCCAGGGGGCAGAGGACTGGAGGGTCGAGTGACAGCCCCGGCTGTGGGTAGAAGTCCAAGGCTGATCCCCATCCCGAGAACACAGCCCAGGGACAGAAACAGCCCTGGGAGATGCTGGCTGCCCCCAGCCTCCCCCCTCCCCCGGCTCTCCGGGGGCCCGGCAGCGTGGGCAGGACTGCCCAGCAGTGCCCCAGCCCCGGGACAGAGAGCTCTTTCAGCCCGGAGTGACGAAGCCCATAGGCACGCAGCTCCATCCTGTTCCCATCGTGTCCCTGTGGCCACACAGCCCTGGGGACTTGGCCTCTGCACTGCTGGGCAGCGGGAGGTGCCCGCACCCAGCACCCACATGAGCACCAGGCCGTGACCTGTCTCTGGAGGGGGCAGCAGGGCTGGGGACAGGCACTGTCCCCAAGGACAGAGGTTTAAGCCTCTCTACCAAGAGTGGTGGCTCAGTGCTGAGGATCCTGCCCGTGACCCCAGAGCACACCAGGACGTTGTGATGACAGCCAGAAGCTGCAAGCAGGGAGGCCCCAGAGCGCAGGGCTACAGAGCCGGGTGTGATCTCAGCTCAGACCTGTCCCCAGCAGGTCCCAGCCCCAGCACAAAGCCCCAGACACCTGGTGAGCGCCAACATTGCTTTATTTGGAAGGTGAATCCATAGGCACCGAAGGGGGGGCTGGAGGGGGACAGAGCCGGCACGACAGGCAGGGCTGCAGAAAGTCGCAGAAAGGCACTTGCGGTGGCAGAAGCCCCACGGCGCATCTTGGGCAGCCTGGTCCAGGGGCTACACCGGAGCAGACGGGGACAGGAGGTGTCGGGGACCAGCCCTGACACAGGGTAGGGACAGCACATCCTGCCCAGTGAAGGGGTAGATGGTCCAGGGGCTGTCAGGGCCCTCGAGCACGAGGGGGATTAGCTAGGACAGCACTTCACGATGGAAGCAGTGACCCAGGGCCAACCCCATACCCCTCCAAGCCCCAGGAGGATCACAGCTGCTTCTCTCCACCCCAAGAAAGGCACCAGGGAACTCCAGGCAACAGCCAGAGCCCATGGTCAGCTCTTGTGGACACCCGTCCCGATGATCTGAGCCCACACAGAGACAGGGCAGACCCTCCCTCGCACCAGGAGCGATGGAGAGGACCTGCCTGCAGGCAGGGTGAGGAGGGCTTGTGGCAGGGCAGCCCCAGCGTGGTGCTTCTCCAAAATTTCCCAGTCTCTGGCCGCCCGTTGCTCCAGTTGGCCCTCAGTAGGTTGTGAAGACTGATCCAGGGCTGGGCTGGCCCTGCTGCTGGTGTCCTCTCATTCCCCAAGATGGGCTGTGTCCCTGCAACACCTGCACCCAGCTCCCCCGTGGCCACGGTGCCAGCAGCATCCCAGCACAGCCATGCTGCCGCGCTCATCCTTCCCCTCCACCTCGCCACGATCTCTGGGCAGTGCAGGACCCCGAGATGGAGTCAGAGTCCCAAGCTGAGAGTTTTCTGGGATGACAACCAAAGCGTGGCAGAGCCAGGCAGGGCTGCGGGCCAGTCTCCAGCGCCGCTGGCAAGGCCATGCCTGTTCCTGTCAGAGCAGTTGGGCCCCAGGGCAGGCTCAGTGGTTCTGGGCGGCTCTGGGTGGCTCAGAGGCACAAACCTCACTGCAGGAGGGCAGGGGGAAGAGAATGACCCCATGCCCCGCTCCCTGCAACCCCAGGGGCACCTAGCCCCATGCTGGGGCAGCACAAACCCCAAGGCTGGAGGAATTTACCCCCTGCCCAGGGACGCAGGACAAGGCTATGGCCCCGCTCACCCTCTCCCTCACCCCACAGTGATGGAGGCCTTGCTGCCCTGCGCAGGCTCAGCCCCCAAACAGGACAGCACGTCCGGGGGACCGGGGTGATGCTGGGTAGAGCTGTGCAGGACCTGGGTGCCTCCACACCCCCGGAGCACAAGGCAGGGAGGAGCTGAGCCCTGCCAAGCTCCAGCAAGACGGCGGACATGTTCAGGCCAGACAGGAGGAGGGGCCGGGCTGGGGAAGCCAAAATCAGAGCCTCCATTAAGGAACCATGGAGGTGCCACACAATGGTTGGGGGGGGACATTTATCCCCACCCAACCCCACTACGCACCACTGCCCCCTGCTCAGCTCCCCCAGGCCAGTCCCCCTCCGCCCTGGGGACAGGTCAACACCCACCTGAGGACGCAGAGTCTGCAAGGCCAGGGGCAAGGGAGTTGGGCAGGGGCCCTGATGGGCTCCCAGAAATTGGGGTCCTTCTTAGGGCTCTCTGCTTGGGTCCTTCCACTTGCAATAGCCTGCGTCTGTCCGAGGGGTGGGAGAGGGGCCTGCGCAGCAGCTGGGTGTTCACGCTGTCTCGGCAGGCTGCAGGGGAAGCCGTGCTCAGGGAAGGCCTCTGTCTGTCCATCCGTCTGTGCCGGAGTCTTCGGAGGAAGCGCGGTGCAGTCAGCCGGGAGGGGATGGGGCGGCAGGATCACTTCGTCCCGAAGCGGGGCTGCGCTCTGTCCGTGGGCGAGAAGAAGAGGAGCCAAGCGCCGCAGGGTCTCAGATGATGTCGCGCTGGTCCCGGCAGCGCCGTGACAGGCAGTAGAGCCCGGAGAAGAGGTACAGGCAGGCAGCGATGCCCCCGCAGACGGAGGCGCTCAGGTAGGCACCATAGAGGCAGTGCTGGCTGTAGCCCGGCAGGTTGCAATAGCTTTTCTGCCTGGCCTTGTAGCCCATGATGCCGGTGGCGGCTGCGTAGTTTTTCAGGTCGTGCACCAGGTTGGTGAGGAGCCAGCGGGAGCCCAGCCAGGGCACCAGCGCCCAACGCCCCAGCAGGCTCAGCCCGAAGAGAGCCAGGGTGAGGAGCCAGACCAAGACGGCGGCGAAGAGGGCGAAGTGGGCCGCCCCCTCGTACTTGTGAGCCGCCACCGTCACCCAGAA